GCTTCCTAACCTGACAACCCTTTGGTGCTGATACCTGCATGATCAGCCAGGCATCTCTCAAGTGACAAAGGAGAGAATGTTCGAACGAGTCAGTTTACCACTGTGAACATCTCAGGACATTGTGCTGTAAATATTTTTGTGGTTTTTTTTGCTTTTGTTGCTGCTTATAATTATTGTGAAATTTTCATTTTTTTACTATATACTTCCTCTCCTTTTTGTTAAATTTTCATTTCCATTTCACGTTCTTTTTGTTTTTAAAGTGTTCATTTATAGATTAGATATTCTAACAGACATGTACTGTATAGAAAAAAGGTTAAAACAGGGAATCATTTGGGGGTCTGGAACGGATTAATTCAATTACATAATTGCTAAAAATGATTTGGTTTTTCAACAGCCTTCGGAACGAATGAAGTTCGAGAAACGAGGTTCCACTGTAATTGGAAAATCCATTCGAAAGCAAAGGCCGGGTTTCTGGCTTCTCTTGGAAAATGAGATCCAAATGGACTGGGTGTGCATCCCCTCCCCGCAGGGGTCAGCCAGGGCGTGGCGTGCAGGCGTGCCACCCGTTTGCCCAAGTCCCCACCTGGCCCGTTCTGCTCTGAGTCTGAGACCCTGGCTTCTTCACCACTGGGTCTCAGAGCCTGCATGGTGGGTGACATGGGAGGCGCTAGAGAAATATTTGCCAAATGGATGAATGGGTGACTTTGCTCAAGGGCCGTGTAGCCACACAGACTGGCCAGTGCCCAGGCAGCGTCTGCTGCATCCCCACAGCGGGAGGGCTGGCGGGCAGGAGAAAAGGGCCCCCCCATCCCTCCCCCGGGGAAGGTTCCTGAGGCCTTCTCTTCGCCCCCACGTGGCCTGCGAGGTGTACGAAATCCGAGCAACTGACCTGTGAGCTCGGGGAGGACTGGGGCGCTCGGGAGAGGGGTCCGCTCTACACGGAATTCTAAAATGAAACGTAAAACAGCTTAGGAAGGTGCAGGGGAGGCCCCTCGGGCATGGGCCTGGGGGACAAATGCACCCACAGGGACACTGGGTGGGGGGACAGGCCATGCACAGGACCCAAGAGCTGGGGATGGGGAGAGCATGGTCCCAGCAGGCCAGGGTGGGGGAGGAGACACAGACACAGAGAGAGACAGACAGACGCAGAAAGAGTAAGGAGAGTTGCCACCTATACCCTGGGCACGGGCAAAGCTGGGCTGCCATTCCTGGTGTTTCTTTTTTTATATATATTTTCATTGATTCCAGAGAGGAAGGGAGAGGGAGAGACACAGAAACATCAATGATGAGAGAGAATCACTGATTGGCTGCCTCCTGCACGCCCACTACTGGGGATGGAGCCGGAAACTCAGGCATGTGCCCTGACCAGGAATCGAACCATAACCTCCTGGTTCATGAGTCAAGGCTCAACCACTGAGCCACGCTGGCCAGGCTGATGCTTCTTAAAAGGCTTGAGATTGCACCTCAACATCCCCCAGAATCCTCCTCGACTCCTAGTTTTGCGGGGGAAGGAGGAGCTGGGGGAGCAGCGTTGGTAAAGCCATGACCTAGAGCAGGTCAGGCTCAGGTGGGCTGCCCGCTCCAGAACTCTCTAGTCGAGTCACCTTAGCAAGCCGCCTCTCCCCTCTGAGCCCGTTTCCTCACCTACACACGGGAGCGTCAGCCCGCCCCCGCGAGAGCGCTGTCAGGGTCAGACAGCGGGATGTGCACACAGGCCGCCCCGGGCCAGTGAGGCACGTGCTTCGGGACCCTCTAAAAATAAGGCCAAGAAAGCAAGAGCCTTGCAAAAATGTGATATTTCAAAGAAAACAACGCTGAAAAGTCATCGTGGGAGAGGTCAAAACTTGGCTGGGCTTCCTGCCACTCTGTGAAGGCAGCGTGCTGTTTTCACTTTGAATCACAAATGAGGGTGGTGGTCACCACGCTTTCAAGTTGCTTTTCAGCATCCGGGTCTCACACGGTCCCGCTGGCCTTGGAAGGCTCAGCTGAGCACGTGGCCTATCCGTGTGTCCACAGACACAGCCCCTCCCCCCTTCCCTCTGCACGAGCCCAGTGC